AGAGAGAGAGAGACATTTATGAGAAAAAAACACCGGTTGCCTCCTGCACGCCCCCTAGTGGGGACCAGGCTGCAGCCCCGCACGAGCGAGACTGAGCAGCCACCGGGGACTTGGTCCTCGGGCCCAGCTCAGCGCCTGGGCCGCGCCGGCCGGGCCCTTTTTTTCCCTTCTGCTTAAATCCTCACCTGAGGACATGTGTAGAAAGAGGAGGAGCGGGAGAAAGAGAAAGAAACATTGATGAGAGAGAGGGAAGCGCCCATCGGCTGCCTCACGGAGGCGCCGTGACCTGGGACAGAACCTCCAACCTGGGTTTGCGCCCAACGGGGAACTGAACCCTCCGCCCTTCAGCACCAGCCAGGGAGAGAACCCTGTATCTTTCGGGGAATACTCCTCCCCGGGAGCGATGGAGCTCCATTTCTGCTCCACCCACCTCCACCCGGATTGTGACTTGCTCCCCAAGAGCACAGTGCAGTATGACAGGCGGGGAGAGGAGCTTTAGAGTGGAGACACCTGCAAGTTGGGCCTCACCAGGTGGCCAGGGCTCACATGGTCAGTGATGAGTTAGGACGCCAGCATGCCCGGCTAGAGGGAGGGCACTTTTCCTCTGTGGTCTTTCTCCCCCAAACCCCATAATCCCAGTTCTTCCTTGAGAACATCAGACAAACCCCAAAAAAACACCTGATCAGTGTTCCTAAAATCTGTCACAGGTCCGGAAACACAAGTAAACTGAGCATCTGTCATAAACCAGAGGAAACTAAGGAGACATGACAGTTAAATGTAATGTGATACTCTAGGAAATCTTGGGAAGGAAAAAAAATATTAGGGGCAGATAGAAAACTTCAAATAAAGCATGGAGCTTAGTTATTGCTACTGTTGCAATAGAAGTTTCTTAGTTGCAACAAATGAGCCATCGTAGTAAAATGGTCATTAGTAGGGGAAATGTGTTGAGGGGTATATTTGAATTCTCTGTACTACATTTGCAACTTTCAGCAAATCTATTCTAAAAGAAATTTTATTGAAAAGAAAAGGGAAGGCTAGAAATAGATGGTTCCAATTTGGACCCAAGAGTCAGTGTTGTCATCAAAAATCAAAGTTCTTTCTAATTTTCCACACAATACCCTCCTTAGGGAGTTGTTTATCACCTTTTAGTTTGTTTCCTCGTGATCTCAAGATAGTTGCTGTAGCTCCAGTCATCACATTCTCACACGGACACATTGAAGACAGGAAGAAAAGGGGCAGACAGAACGGGCATTTTCCCTTTATGAGGAAGGAAGACAATGTATCCCCCCATTTTCTAGGTGGGAATTGACAAAGATTCTCGCCTTGACCAAATTCTAGCCAGGCTCTTCTGGGCCTTCACCTCAATGAGTCATCAACCTTGGCCTATCTGTAGACTCAGCACCAATGATTTCATCCACTCCACCCCTCCCACGTTAAAGCCTTACACAAACAGTAACGGAGTTCCTAACAGCTCAAGGCCTGCTTCCCTGGGATGGCCCTAGCCCCGTTAAGGAGCTCAAGGCTGCAGAAAGAATTTACTCTTTGTCCTAGGCAACGCCATTTCTTAGATCATTTACTAAAAAGGCTTACAGGGTGAGAATCCTGGCTCTGTGCATTTGTGATATTATGTATCTCTTACAACTCCGAAGTGTCGTTTTCAAGGTCCTAAAAGCCATTCCTTTGAAATGCAGTTATCAGAAGGGATAGGGCCTCTGTCTCCCAGTCTCTGCGTGGCCACACAGCTGGCCTAATGAGCATTTACACTGGGAATTTTTCACTTACCTGACTCTACTCGAGCCCCTCTGGTCCCCCTCCCTACTTCCTCACTCTCCCTTTAAAATGCTGAGTCATGTCTGGCCAGTGTTGCCTCAGTGGTTGAGCCTTGACCTGTGGACCAGGCAGTCACGGTTCAGTTCCCAGCCAGGGCACATGCTCAGGTTGCAGGCTCCATCCCCCATGGGGGCCATGCAGGAGGCAGCCAATTGGTGATTCTCTCTCATTATCAATGTTTGTATCTCTCCCTCTCCCTTCTTCTGTCTGATGTCAATAAAAACATATTCGAAAAAATAAAATGCCCAGTCACCTCTCTACAAATCCAAGTTCAATTCAGTTCATGCTGGACCCTCTTCCCTACTGCAGTAGATATGACTGATTCAAATCTGTCCTTACCGCTTTAGTATCCAGCTTTATCTTTTACAGAATTAAGTAAATTGTTTGGAGTTACTCATCTACTAAGCAGCTCAGCCACAATTGGGTTCCCAGACTCAAAGTCCATGTTCTACCCCTGTAGGAAGACTTACTGAACACCCCAAACAAAGTGTAAGCAGCAAAGCCAGTGTCAAGTTGAGTTTTATGAGGGTAAATAGTCATGGGCAAGGGAAAACCCTGAGAGCTGAATAACTTAAATAACAATACTGTTTTCCAACATGTTTATTTTAAAGACACCATGGAACTGTGTACTTTAGGACAAATGAAATAACTACTTTCAACCAGTGGGTTGTAAAGATGTGAGTTTATTCCGCAAGTTAATGGATATAATTCTTTCTCCACCTAGCAGCGAGAGTCATCTCATACTTGACTCTCACAACTTAAGGATCACCTTCTAAATTAGCCATTCACAGTAATAACAGAGGTCTGGGGCCTACGCTTTTACTATTTTATTTTATTTCTTAAGTTGCTGTCCAACTAACACATGACTACTGGTCACTGGAGGTTTGGCTAGTGCAACTGAAGAACTACATTTTAAATTGTACTATTTTGATTAAAATTACACTTAAATAGCCACTTGTGGCTGTTAGACATGAGCAGAGCACATACGATGGGCCAAGTACAGAAGCTCACCAGGGCAGAAAGCCCCGGTGCCTAGCAAGGGGCAGAACTGGGAAAACAAGAACCTTGTCCCCAGGGTAACCTAGCCTCCCCCAGCATATTGCTGGTCCTGTGGTTTAGACACCCCCCCCCCC